AGGAAGGGAAAGTAACTCTGTATGAGAAAAATGCATGAGATATTAGGAAACAACCAAATGATAATAAGGTAAGAAACAATAGTTGCAGAAGTAGAATAGGAACCCTGAGATTGAAATAAGGGAACAGGGGATGGTGGTGAAGTATCAGGAAGAATGTCAGGGGGGGGGGGTCCACAGAAGGACATTGTTTTGACTTCAGGGAGTCCGATGAGCATCTAAGTGGGGGTGGTAGGGATAATGGGAAGGAAGAGGGGTTGGTTATCCACATGGAGGAGGAGAGGATAGGGTGTTTTTTGGGTGAGTGGGAGGAAGAGGGGTAGGGGGAACTTGAGGAGGAGGAGGGTGGATATCGGTAGATATTTTGAATGTAGAGGGAATAAAGGGATTAGAGGGTGGACGATTGAGTACATCATTCTCTTGAGTTATATTTATGAGCTTTTGGATGTCTTCAAGTTTCTGGAGGGGAGTTGGGTGGGGAAGTCTGAGAAACAATGGTTTTCTTATGTGGAGGAGAAGAGGGAGTAGATGTCTGAAGAGCAGAAGGCGAGGTGGGTGTAGGAGAGGATGGAGTGGAACATGGGGAGATGCTGAGACAATGGAAGGGGAGCTGAATGAAGTAGTTTTTGAATAGGTAGAAAGAGAAAAACCTCTTTGGTGTACTTCTTGTATGGCCTCACATAGAGTGAGGCCTAGTTTGAATCTGAGAACTGCTACCTCAGATTCGAGCTTGTAGGCAGGACAGCTCCTATAAAATACATAATGGGAGCCACCACAATTGGCACATGTGCATGACTGAGCAGAGCAATTTGAATTGTCATGACATGGGCGGGCACATAGACAGCAGTGGGCTGTGGAGCGACAGTCTTTGGCTGGGTGGCCAAAACACCAACATTTCTGAAATTTATGGGGAAGAGGTTGCTATGGTTGAACAGGGCAGGACACTTCATAAGGAAGGTCAAATCTATGGAAGCTAATCTTGGTAATAATGGTGTAGGACTTATGCTGGCCTCTGGGAGGAATAGTGTAGCACTGGATTGCCACTGCATCACCGTTGATAAGGCATGCGAGAAAGTTGTTTTCACAATCTGACCAGTAGAAAGGACAGATAGTTGGAGAGATGGAAACAGTTCTGGTACAAGTATTAATTGAGGAGGGAAGTTGTGCAGGAATAGGTTTACCAGTGAGGTCAGTCAGGGTTGATAGTGCACAAGCTTGGGACTCAGATGTATCTGTGACAAGGCATGAACAATCAGAACAACTGCGGAAGGAAACTTTGCCTACCTGTTTTTAGAGAGAGAGAAAAAAAAAAGGTACACAAAAGGTTTGTAGAGGTAGAAGCAGTAGAAGGATGAAGGCAGGAAGAAGATGGGGTGGTATGGAGAGAGGTAGTATTATTGGGAGAAGACAATAAGGATAATAAAGCTAAAAGTAGTAACAAGGAGGGGTGGGGGTAGACAATGAAGAAGGCTGGGCAGTAGAAGATGGAGTGGAGTATGTTGGGAGAGACGAAGAGGCGTATTTTCAAGGATGAGTAATGACCTGGGCGGATAATTCGGAATGGACAGGATGATGAAGAAGAGAAGGAAAGGAAAGGGAAAGAAGAAAAGATCATGCAAAATTGGTTGAGGTGAGGGCTAAGGTCCAAGGCTGGGGTGATCCCTTACATTGGGCCTCAATCTTCTTCTCCTAAGCCTCCCCATGACAACAACAAGCAAGGGATCAGGGGGGAATAATGCATAAGAACCAATCAGATACTGGGACCGGTTGAAATCAAGTATTACATATCACCCGTGGGGCATATCTATTTGGGCAAATATGAAATAAGGTGATCAGCTACTGAAGCAGCACAACTGCATTAACTGGATAGTTACTTATTAATGGGAAAGGTTCTGACCGCAGGTATATAATGGTGAAGAGATGCCAAACATTTGCATAAATACAATGTTGAATGTAAATTCCATTTCACTAACACCTGCTGATTATGAAATACATCACATAGAACGGAGACTAAGAACAGGGTGTAGAAGTGACTAATTTTCCATTCAAGCTATTGTAAATCTATCCATGTTTTGTAGAGTAAAGCCTTGCATTTGGCATGTTCATATTTAGTGAACTAAAGCAACTGATGCCCTTGCACTGCATATGGCAACCCTATTATTTCCTCAACTTATTTAGATGCAGTTTCCTCATGAAGCTAAAACCACACACAATTATAGAGCTGGATATACACACAAGCAATCATGCACACACACACTTGTACATGAACAAATGTACAAACGTTTTATCCATTTGTCAAAAATCTACGTAAAGAATGTCTACATATTTGGAAAAGATACTTACTGGCACCCATGCAACAAATGGATGAATTTCATTGCAGTCTGGTTTCGTCGAGCAGATGAATGTCATAGAAGAGTATGAAACAATAAAGATGGTTGCTACGAACGAGACTGCTAGGGCCAAACGTCCTCCAAGTAAGTTTGAACCACTCTTGTCATCAATAAGGCTGTACTGCGTGAGTGCAAAGTATAGCAGAGCAAATACCATACCATAAAGAAGGCTGTGGGAAGGAAAGATTTGCTATAAAAAAAAAACACACACACACTATGAAATTAATGAATGAACCCTAATCAATCAGAATTGTCTGAACCTACTTCAAAAATCCCTGATGAGGAAACAAAGCATGACATGACATCAATCCTTTCCCTCTTGCATATCTTCTAGCTGGTGAAACTAATTTTGAGATCTACATAATGAGTTTTTGAATTGTTTTAAAGCCCTTAATATATCAAATAGACTTAAAAGTAAAAGAGATAGATAAAGTAATAAACACTTAGATAGACTTCTTGCCTTTCAAAATGAGAACCTTGGATCAGAAA